GAAATGTAAGCTTTTCCACTTATTTTGCCTTGTAAAACGTTTCCAAATTATGGCAAATCTCTTAACGAAAATTGTGACTCTGCTTTCTACCCTTAACTTTCCAACATGGTCTAGTCGATTCCTCCTCTTTTATTCTGTCTTTTCTACCTGGGGGTTGAGGCTGATTCATATAAACAGGGGTGTCCTGGACCCAGGGAGCAGGAGGCCCCTCTTACCAGGAGTCTACACAGTAAGAAGATTCTTACATCAGAGTGGAAAGTGGATGGAGGAGGTTTTATCCTCTTAGGATTGGTGGAAAGACCCAGACTTTGGAATCAGTTGGACTTCGGTTTGAATCCTAACTCTGCTATTTACTGGGTGACTAGTAATTTCAATTAGTTCTTCACCTAAAGTTGATGATAACTAATACCTACCTTGTAGGATTATCGGGTTAGAGTCAAATAATATAATACAGCTAAAATATCGAGCATGTAGTAGGTTCTCTATAAATGGTAGCTATTATAGACTTAGCTCTGATCAAGATAGAAAGCAGAAGTTTCTGCCTAGATCTCTAGGTGTAATATAGATGTTCAGAGTAGCGTTGGACTTTCCCGAAAATTTAGGCTAAAATATCATCCAAAGTTGTTTTTAGTCGTTGATAAATTAAGTCACCACGTTGTTTCCAGGGCTGAATACACTATAGACAGATATAATAACCACAACCTTGTAAAAATTTTTAAACTTTTTAAGTTCTAAGAATTTAAACAAAAATGTTGTGTTTGGTGAACATTTTATTTCTAAAAATTTAGATTAGGGGGCTGGCCCAGTGGCATAGTGGTTAAGTTTGCACACTCCACTTCAGTGGCCTGGGGTTCGTGGGTTCGGATCCCGGATGCACACCTACATACCGCTCATCAAGCCATGCTGTGGCAGTCTCCCACATACAAAATAGAGGAAGATTGGCACAGATGTTGGCTCAGGGACAATCTTCCTCACCAAAAAAAAAAAAGAAAAAAAACCCGGAAAAGAAATTTAGGTTAGAATAGCCTAACCTGATCACAAATTTACCCACAAATGTTGAATATCTATATTAAGTGTAAATGGAAACCAGCTGTAATTTTTAATGCAGTGGATGGAGTAAAGATATGTGCAAATCAGTCCAAATGTTTATAAGCCAAAGATTCCTCTGAGACTCAGTGCCCTGACTTTACATTTTTTTAAACATGGAGAGTCAAGCTTTGTCCATACTTGAATTATGAACTTTGCATAAGCCGTGCAATTTAACTTTAACCCACAGGACTGAAAATAAAGTGAGCTCAGACTGCAGAACAACAAGACTGTAAGCAAGTGAGAGCATTAATCAAAGTGAAAGACGACCCTCACTGCCAGCTCTGTCCTTCTCCAGGCTGCTTCCACCAGACTGTTTGGGTTTCTCATGTGCTTGACTCGTCAAAATGGCAAAAACAGGTTAAAATTTTCATTGTGGAAAGAGATTTGTCTTTTAAATTAACGTTTGGCATATGCCCTGAGGAAGTTGATGAGGAGCACGCAATTTTTAAAGATCATAAGTGAATGCATACCCTTGCCACTTGTAATCATGACAAAGCTTAAGTAATTCAGTTATGAGCATGGTTTTTTAAAAGTGTGAAACAGGATTTACTAGTCGAGAATGTCTGCCTAAACGAGCTCCTCTCTGAATGCTTTCAACTGCAGTTCAAATTTGTTTAACACAAACCAGTTTGATAAATGGGCCACGTTTGCTCATTGAGTGTTTCAGAACATCACAAAATAAACCAATATGTGGCTTTTAGGCTTGTTTTGACAGAGGGTGGACAGAGAACCCCACAGGGAGGTTTGGAAATGGCTTGCCCTGGCATCCGGTTTATGAGTACCGGTATGGGACCTGACCGCATTCACCACCCTGCCCCTGTACAGAGGACATAACGCCATTCACTCCTCTGGTGGGAGCCTGAGATGGGTTACTGTCCTTGTTGCTGTCGTTTATTATCCCAGGCAGAGGAGGCAGCGCCTTAGTTCTATGTGGTCAGGGTTGATTCCATATGGGGTTTATTTAGCATACATGATAATAATTTGTGAGTATTTTAACATGAATGTGTGGCTTTCAGATGTTTTTAGTGAGAAATGTCTGAACTAATAGCATCAAATGCCCAGGTGTTCACTTCAACCTCCTCTGACCCCACACTAAGGACCCTGCTTTATAGATGACCGGATATTAAATTGGTACCCTATAACTCAGCGTGGTAGTCTCTCCAATTCTCGACCCCCATGGTAAAGGAGGAATTAGCTTAAGGACACTCCATTCTAATTTTCTGTCGCTGTCAATGCTAACCAGAGCTCACAGAGCAATGATGTGGGGGTGGGGAAGATGGTTCCACCATTGGTGGGAAACCAGGAGCTACTGTTTCCGTTAGAGCCATGTTTATTTCTGGAGTAGTTGTAGGGGAGAGATGTGCTCCAAAGAGAAGAGGACTCGGTGTTGTTCAGGTATGACTGACGATCTGGACAATCCAACTCAGAGACTTTAAAGTGTATGAGACAGAGGTGGGCTGGGTACTTCCCTCACATTGAGCTAAAAATCACTTGAGTTCTGGAAAGGGAGATAGAATGAGAGCTAGAAACAAAAGATCCAGTTGTGAAACCTAGTACCTAAGTTAGGATGTTCGAGTACATTTTCTCCTTTAAAAAAATTCTGGGGAACTTGAATGTTTTGCTAACCTGATTATTTTTAGCCTCTATCTTCTGATAGAAGATAGAAGTGCTGGAAAACCAGCAACCCCAGGAAATATTAATTTGTTTTTTCACATGTTAAAATTAATTAACATTAGCATATTCAGTGATGCAATAGGCAATGAAAGACTTTTGGAGAGGTAAGAAGAAGAAAAACCTGAATATTACATATTCAAAATCAGTCTCATAGCATTTTATAAAAATGTTGGCTTATGTCCAGAATCTAAGGGTGGGGGTGGGTATGTTTTCTTTGTAGCTGAAGAAAGAGTGGAAAAGAATCTGTTCTATTTCCTTAAAAATAAAAGACTTCTTATTTTATACAGCATGGTTAATGAAATGCTTTTCTGTTTTTACCTGCCGGCAGAATCTGGAGGCTAGCAAGCTATGCTGTTTTCCTCTCTTTGGGGACATGGTGACACTGGTTTTGTAGCAAAACAGTATTTGCTTATTAGGCATTTCTTCAAAATCCTGAATAAGCAGCTCTTTCCACATTTTTTGTTCCACATGTTAAACATTTCATTGCAATTTGAGCTTCAATTGTGAGTGTGTGTGTGTGTTGATAGAAAAGATTGAAAGGGGATGCATAAGAATTCTTGAAGGTTTTTTGTTTAAAAAATTAATTCCTACAATTATGTATTGGAGTCTGTACAGAAGGTAATTCCGATTTATTACATACGACCAAACTAGATCCCATCAATCTTAAGCAGCGGGGATAGGGAGGTGGTATTGAAGAAGACATGAAATTTGGTGTTTGAGTAGATGAGATTTAATTTTCAGAAAACATTTCACTCGTAAAACGGATAGCACCCCAGTGTCCGCCCTGACCTCCGTGATGTCAATGTCATCGTGCAAGCGTAGCTAAGATTAGCCTCAAAGTAAAACAAAGAAGCATCGCATCTCAGCACAGCGCCATTTCTTCTCTTACAGTATGTGCTATATGTACATATATAGCCTTTCGGTATTCCTGTCACTGGCTTTTTACTTTACAGTTTAGCTTTAGGAGGAGGAGGGAGGAAAAAAATCATGTTGTGTTTCCTACATTCTGAGCAAGTACGGTGCTGCTGCAAGTCAACATTATTGAGGTCAGTATCCCAAGGATACTTTTATCCTTAAACGAATAGCTTTTATCGTTCATGATGGTCAGCTATACGTCGAAAGGAACTCAGTGTTAATTTATTTTTCTGTACTGATTTTATTCTGCTTCTAAGTTTAAGCAAATTCATCCACATTTTAATACAATTCCGACTGAGGAGGTATCTGCCGCTCTGTACTGCAGATACCCTTAGCAGGATACATTTACACGGCGTGTGGTTAGAGGTTATAGCACGGATACAGACAGCTGAGCATGCATTCTTCTACAAGCCTGCCGGCACCGTTTAGGATTTTGAAAAATAATCTAGAAAAGCTACACCCTTTATAATATTATTCTTTACTTTGCAAGAGCTTAACAGTTTTGTCTTTTGTTGTTGTTAGCAATTCTATAAAATTAACAGTCTATAAAATGCATCCCAAACCAGATACATACTGTATTGAAAGCTTTCTTCAAGAAGAAGATATGACAGTATTCATTCCAGCTTATTTTCTTCCTTAGCAAAAGGATCGTTTGATTCTCAGAAGCAGAAGGACACATTCACTGTACAGCAGCTCTGCTTAAGTGTATGAAATGCCTTCTACTGTCTGGTTGCAGAATTTGGAGTTTGCTAAACAGTGTTTAGTGATTGGGCTCATCTTGCATCACCAGTTGATGACATTTTTCTTTGTTCCCTCCTACCCAGTTGAACCAAGACTCTGAGGCTGATATGCAATGTCACTTACAACATTAATCAGATACTGCATTTAAGGTGAGCTGTCCCTTGCCTCCTCCTTCCCCAGTGCTCGTGTGCTGCATGCAGTGCGTATCTTGCTTCTGCGAGCCTAAGATGGCAGGCAGGATTAGCCGTGCTTGTGCTGTGTGTGCATGCTGTGTATAGAATTCATTACACGTTGCCTAGTATTTCAGATGTGAGTATGTAAATGCTCGGTATGCCATATCATCTGGTAGCGAAGACTTGTTTTTGCCTCATTACAGCCTTAGATATTTCAACATCACCTTTCAGTTCCGATTCATTTGCTTCTGGGTGTTTGCTTTTCATCACATTCAAAATAGGATTTTTTTTTAACAAAGCCAAAAAAAAAAAAACCCTAAAAACAAAAACAACAACAACAAAACTCTGCTACCAGATGGTGTCTCCCCTTTCTTCTTGCATTTGCTGTCTTTTAAATAATGTATGTTGTATTGTTAATTAATGTGAATATCAAATTAAACACTTGAAACTTACATATTTATTATGCAGGTAGGAGGCAAGGTGGAATCTATTTTTAACTCTTATGCACTCCATGGTGCGCAAACAACTTGGTTCTCAAATTTGTATTTTCAGTGCTGGTATCAGTGGTTTGATTTTCAGCAAATGTGACAGTGGCCTTTGCAGTGGTCAGCTCCGGGCTTTGAACTCTCAGAGGAGGAAGGGAAAAAAATTCAACACACCACCTCCTTGGTTGCAGCCTCAGAGAAACCTTGGATGAGAAACTTCTTTTTTCAATCCTGTTTTCCTGTTGATAAATTCAGTTCTCGTGATCACAGTACATTCAAGCTGTTCTGCGTATGATTTTGTGTGTGTGACAATTGCATCTAAAACTTGTGAGCAAGAAGACGGAGAAATCAGTTGGTCTCCATCGCTTTACATAAAAATGGCTGAGTGTCTTGTCTTGCTAGCACTGCATTAAGTGATACATACAGGTAGGTTGAAATTTGCATGTTTTATAGATTTCTTTTGAACCATGCAGCAGGAACATTAGATGAATTAAAATATGACTTTTTTTTAAAAAACAAAAATTAAATAAGACAGTTGTAATGGGGGGGAGGTATTAAATTGGATAGCCTTTCCTATTCAGGTACTATATAAATCTATAGCTTTTATAAACTTATAAAATGATTCTGCTATAAAAGTGAGATGATTTCTTTTAAAAAAATCATATATATGATAGGTGTGGCGCCATTAGACAACAAAAGAATTTTTTGAAAAGTCTGTTGATTCAGCTCCACTTTATCTTGAAACTAAAAATAAATGGGTTTCTGGAGATAATTTCAAAGAGTGCAAACAAGCCTAATAAGAAACATTTAAAATATTTAAATTTTAAGAAGCGGTCTTTAAACGTGTTATGTGAAAGATGAAAATAAAAATGTATATGCTTTCAAAATCAATTTTAGGTAATATACGAGAATAAATACATTATTTGTATATCTATTATTTGGGGAGATGAGGAGTTACAGTTTTTAAAGGGGGAAATATTAAATATAGATGGCCCTGTTAGAAAATAAAGATCCTTACTGAAAGAAACAGAGTCCCTAGCCTGGTTCATTGCAGACCACACAGCTGTGGTTCTGTAAGTACCAAATTCCGGCACTTTTCAAAATGATTTCATGGGCTCTTTCCTTTGAGTTTAACTTCTCAAATATATTTTAGTTTCAAATTAACACTGGGCCAGAACCTGTTTCCTTGGTAACCAAATCTTATTTAAAAATGCAATAACAGAAATGCAAAAGATTGCCTTAAAATAAGAATCAAATGTTTAATGAAAATTTTACAGTTCTGTTTCCTCTCCCATGGAGTCTGAACTGGTTTTGGACGTTTTTAAATGCGATCTTCAAGCCTTAAATTGAGCCATATTTCTACACATACAGAGAAAGCTTGCACAGGGAGAGCTCTTTTCTTCCTCCTTTGTGCTCAGTACTTTCAAAATTAAGGTTTTCTTTGTAATATGCTCCAGAATGCTGGTCAAGGTTTGTGTACAAAGGTGTAGTTTCATTATCACGAGTTCATCAGCGCCACTGAAACAAAAGGTATCTCAGAAATTCTGAGAACTAGAAAATGCTGATGTTCTTGTTTTCCCTGAGCCCTCCATTGGTAACCTCAGAGCTCTCGGTAGAGAAGGACCCAACCCAAGCCCACCCCCCCAATGAGCCTTTGTGGAAACGGCTTCATAGGTGTGTTAAGAGGAAGATGCTGCCAAACCCAAAACCTCCCTGAGGTTTGCTCCGATGTGAAGAACACTGAGATTCAGAACCGTCTGTGTAAATAGTTGCTTGATTCTAGCAGTTTGTCTAATATTCCAAAGCATTGTCTGTAAAATCAAACCTCTTATGGGCTAAAGGTTTGTTGTTGTTGTGTTGTTTGAGGCCAACTTAAATATATTGCTTGCAGTCTTTCTCTAGCTCAATTATATTAGAACATGATTCATCTCATAGTGATTTCGTTCTTCGGGCTTGCTGTGAAATATCCCTCCTGCAACACCTTTTTTTTTTTTTTTTTTTTTGACTGTTCGGGAGCCATTTTCCTTCTTGCCTGTGACTTAAAATGGCTAAGTACGTTTTGAATATAGCATCAGCCAGAAGATCGTAAGCTGAAGGGAAATGTCAGAAACCTGATTCAGTACTGCCTATTTGTTTTAGTACCAGTAGCATTAACAGTTGCAGTAGAATCATGCTAATTGTCATTTGCTCCTGAGCAAATAATGAGCCAGGCATTTGTAATTAAAACACTATTGCTATTCAGAAAGATTACAACTGCAATGTCTTCTATTTTGATAGGCTGATACAAATTAATCATTTTGAACCCATCTGAATCTTAATCACAAGATTAGATGGATGCAATGGAATTGTTTTACCACAAAAATTAACGCCTGATAGATTCAACAGTGTATTTCTTCTTTATAAAATCTCGATCCTTTTGTTTTTAACTCAAGCATGGTTGCATCATCTTGTAGATTTTCATACCTAATGATGTTTTGTGGTATTATTCTTTTATGTTGCCCTTGGTCTAGCCTAAAAGAATTTTAAACACAATTCAAGGGGCTTGAAAGCCAAATAAGACTGTTGGGAAGTATACTGCACCATTGTCATTCTAATAAATAGATCAGTGAACGGGAGAATAATTGTTATTTATTACTTTGTTGTGTTTCGCCTTAATGCTTTGCCTTCATGTTTCACAGAAACGTTTACAAGACACAAAGCTTTTCTAAACTTACCCATTTACAGTTATTATTGGATTTCCTAGATTAGCCAAAAACACTTCCTGCCGATTGTAGAGGATGTCACTTATACCCCTTCTCATTGTTTAAAAGACTATTGTCAAAAAACAAAATTTAACTGAGTAAATTTTAAAGATCTTATTAGCTTTATTCAATGATTCATGAATTCAGCAACATCCCATCTAGCAGAGAGAAAGGAGCCTCAAGGAGCTGTACAAAATGGAAGACTTTTATAGGCAGAAGGGAGCGGGACAAGCAAGTTATACTAGCAGAGAGCAGATTGGCTGTGGCAAGGTCACTTTCCTTTAGGGGACGGCAAGGGTCTGTCAGGCAGATGACCTCGTTAGTGCTGACCAGATAATTCCAGATTGATGAGTTTAAGATTCTATTCCTGGAAGAAGCTGAAACTGTAAGTTAGGTACTAAGTCTCGGTTTGGTAACGTGGGGTTTAACATAAGTGACTCCATTTTGGGCCTGTTTCTCTTTTAACACCATGCTTAACCCATTTATGCTTTTTGGCTAAGGTGTTTATACTGGGTAGGCCAGAGCAGGTGCAACAGGAAGAATGTGCAAACAACTGCTTTGTTTTCACCAAAACAAAATGGGCAAATCTGTGGTTTTCTGCCTGAATGATTTATAATATAAAATTCTCAACTCTTTGTTTCTTTGGAGAATAGGAAATGTTTTTCCAAGCCTTAATTCAGGCTTTTTATTTTGCTTTTTTTTTAATTTATCCATAATGATCTGTTTACTTGGGTAAACGGGAAGCATTACATTCAGTCAACTAGAATATCTTCATCCAAGTTGATATCTGTTGTGTCAGTATCTTCTAATTAAAAGAGATTACATTTCTTGCTACTATAGTGATGTTGATCTACCTCAGACATTTCCATGGATCCCCCATAGACGGATTGGTAGCCAGACCGCGTCTTAGAGCTGGTTGATATGGGGAGAAGAACCTAGAAAAAGATCTAGCACCTTTCTCTTTAGTACTAGATCATGCTAAGCCTTTGAGTTCCTAGTACCATATGGTCCATTCTAACAGCTCCCTTCCAAGCGAAATGCTGTTCTTAACAGTTTTCTTGGTAATTAACCATTTGATCACACATTTATTGACCATCTACTATGTGTCAGACATACTTCAGAGGCTGGAAATATAGCAATGATCAAGAGAGACTAGAGCCTGCTTCTCATGGACCTCCCTCTAGTGTGGTGGGGGAGTGTGGAGTGGGAAGGGGAAATAAATATGTAGACAATTAGACAAGTGCAAAGATGAAAAATAAACTTAAATTTAAAAAAGCAAAGGTGACGTGTTGGAAGGAGGAGAGTCACTTTACAATGGTTGGCCAGGGAAAGTTTTCCTGAGGAGGTGGCATTTCAGTGGAAGCCTGCATGGTAAGATGGATCCAGCCAGGTGAAGATCTGATGGGGAGCATTCTCAGACAGAGGTGTGCTCGTGCTCAAAGTGCAGACTTTCCTTTCTTGTGTAACTGCCGCTCCGTTAGAGCCAGGTCCGATGACTTTGTGCATTGAGCCTTACTTAGGTAAGCTTCCCCTGAAGTGAGAAGGTGGGCCAGGCCCCCATGGCTGGTTGTAGTCAAATTCCTAGGACCTGGTGCCAGTGAAGTCATTGCCTTTGACCCAGTCTCACGCCGAAACTGCCTGAGAAGGCGTAGTGAAACTCTGGGTATTGCAGTCCTAGGTGGTAATGAAATTCTGGCACAGATTCGGCACTAATCCAAGAAATCCACGGAAGAAACAAGGAAACAGGGAACAAGGAAATTTCTGGGAAGCCTCTTGCTTTATTTTTCATAAGAACTCTAGAATTTAAACTCATGGCAAAACATTGAGATAGCCATTTCCTTTAATTTTTTTCAAAGGCAAATAGTGGAGGGGTCTGTCCCATCTTGCCAATAAATTGTCATTGTCCTCTAATGCCTAAAACTCTTCAGTTCTGCAGACCTCTTTGACTGTTGGTGGCTTTCTAAAGACCTTACTGCTTGGAGTGATATTTCTCTATTTGAGCAAATAATACTAAGAAAATTCTTCTTAAGAACCAGAACTATTTTATGCCTTTTAGGTTAGTCTGCTGATGAAGGTCCATGAACAAACGGATAGGTTTGCTATATATACAGGTTAGAAACCTTCGAATGTTTCGGAAGCATCTTCTAAAATTGATTCATAATTTAGTGGAGTTTGCTTATCACAAGTTAAAGGAGGCCTGGCTGACTCCTTACATTTCGTTTGGTCTCGACTAGCCATGAAATTCCACTGCATGAAGAATGTTCTAGCCCTTTGTAGTATAGTATCGCCTGTTAGTGGGAGAGGGAGCTTCAACATTTCAGTGCACGTCTTCGAGCATTTGTTGAGCATCTGCTGCGTGGCAGACACTGCTACAACCCAGGCAGAATGGAACAGGACATGAAACTCCAGTCCAGTGTTCTATATAAGGCTAGAATGTTGTGTAGACAGGCACAATTGTGTATCTTCTCTGATCTAGAAAGAAATGAATGGCGTGCTGTTCTCTTAATGGCCTTTTATACTGTTCTCTGAAGGGCACCCTTCGGTTTCAGGGCATCTCAGCCGATGGCAAGGATGGTTCTTCGCTAGGACTCTGTGTCTTGCCCTCATCACCTTCCCAAGATGTCTTGGCTCCTAATAAGCCACCGTATGTCTGGCTGCCCTGCTCCAAGCTGGTCTGCCTGTATT